AGCTCAGGTGGCCGCCCCCGACCCCGCTCGCAGCCCAGGCGATGCAGCTGTGCCAGCCGCAGGAGCTCCCCGGCGCTGGCAGGCGCGCTGGAATGCAAACAGATGTCAGCGCTGGAGGGATCCCGGCTGCTGGAGCGGGGCTCCGGGTGTCCCGCTGGCAGCGGGGAGTGCTCCTGGGCTGGGGACGTGTCCTGACGAGCAGCCCCAGCTGCCCTTGGCTCTGGTTTTGTGTCCCGTGCTCGGGGCAGCCGGGCTGGCAGCGGTGTGGAGGGGAGGTCCCAGCCCCACAGAACTGCTGTCTGCGCTGCCCCAGGGATGCCACATCAGAACGATGCAAGGGGAGATGTGGGGCTCAGCCCCAGTGCTGTTGGAGAAGGCACAGGGGGCACTGCCGAGATGCCACAGATGCTTTCAGGTCCCCGCTCTGCCCGGTCCTCAGCGAGACCCAAGGCTGGGGCGAGGGGCAGAGCCACAGGCAGGACACACTGTGCCTGCTGCAACACTCCAGCCTGGGCAGCTGGGGAAACTGGGAAGGGCTTTGAGGGTGCTGGGAGTACGAGAGGGTGCAGGCAGAGAGAGGGAGGTTTATTGGCATGGCAGGGATGCTCCCATGGAGAGGGCTGTGGTTCCTGGTGGGACACAGAACGGAGCACCTGCAGGGATGCTGCCAGGCTCCCAGTGTAAAAACAGTCAGTTCCAGGGTCTGGGGAGGAACAGTCACACATCCTCACTCCTCCTCCTCCTCTTCCTCCTCCTCCAGAGTGACGGGCTGCCGGCCGGCCGGCCCCACGCTGCCGCGCTGGATGGAGACGATGCCGCTCAGGAAGGCGTAGCCCAGCATGGCCGCCAGCCCCACCAGCACCGACAGCAGCTGCTTGCGCCGTTTGTGGGGGTCCTCCTCTGCTTCACTGCCATCTGTGCCTGCAGCCCGAGGGGCACCGGTCAGGGGATCACCTGCAGGGGCAGAGCAGGGATGTGGGTGGGAAGGGTCACCCTGAGACCGAGCACCAGCTGGGGGGACAGGTCACCCCAAGCCCAAAGGGTGAGGTGGGGGATGGCTCTGACCTCTGTCCCAGGGGAAGTAGAGGCTGAGGATGGAGGTGCAGTAGTTGCACAGGTTCTGCAGGGACTTCAGGTGCTGCTGCAGCTTCCCGTTGGGCAGCTTTGCCTTCAGGAGCGGCGCCAGGCGGCTGAAGACTAAGGCGTCAAGGGAGGCCGGCCTGGGACACAGAGAGCTCTGCCTGGGCCACTGTCCTCACCCAAAGCCAGCCAGACCCACCAGCCACCCCCAGTCCCAGAACCCCTGGGGATGGCATGTGGCTACCCCAGCTTGGGAGGGTGCCCTGTCTCCTGCAAGCCTGTTCCACCCCCAAAGCAATGCACAGGGGCTGCAGCTCCCCTGCAGACTATCTGCAGATTACCCCTGCCCTGCTGGGGTGCAGGGGGCTCTCAGACCCCTTTCCCATCCCCCCCTTTGGCCACCTACGAGTCTCCAAAGAAAAACTTCTGGGAGCCAAGGCGCTGGGAGAGGAGTGTCAGGCATTCCCGAGCTTCCCGGTAGAGCTGCAGGAGGAGGACAGAGCATTGGCACCTGCCCAGGTACCCCCAAAGTGCTCAGGGGAGCAGGAGCGGGGAACCCAGACCCCAGTTTGGATTTTGGCCTCATAGGGATCCCCTGGCCACTGTGCCCAGACACCATCCCTCACCTCCTTCTCCAGCTTCTCCTCATCTTCCATGTAGTCGTCCCCCCACATCAGCTGCAGCCGCTCCAGGTGCCGCTTGTGCATGGCGTTGGGCAGGAAGAAGTTGAGGGGGAAGGGGATGGTTTCTGCATACCACTTCCGTGTGTGCTCCACGTAGTTCTTGGCGTCCACCCAGAAGGTGTGAATCTGTGGTGGAGAACAATGCACAAACCTGGCCATGGTGGGGCTGCAGCCCCTGCCCAGCACAGCCACCCTGGAGCCCACGAGGGGCTGCAGGAGCATTGGGGTCAAGGACAGACCCCAGCCCAGGCTGCACAACCCACTGCTGCCACCCCCAAACCCCATCCCTGCATGCCAGGCTCCCGGGATGCTGCTGCTGGCAGCGCTCTCTGGCTCTGCTGGCAGCTGGGCACACACCTGAGCCCACCCCATCCTTGGCGAGCCCCCCTTCCCTGCAGCCCCCCTGAGCCTCACCAGTACTGGCAGCAGCTTCTCCTCCAGCAGGGACACGAAGGCCAGCGTGTCCGCGCTCTGCGTGGCCGACAGGTCGTAGTCAGCGTTGTACTTCTGCAGAGAAAACGCCCGGTTTGATTCCGCAGGATGCGCCAAATCCCACCCGTGGGTGACACAACAGAGTTCCCTCCTCCCTGAGGGGCTCCAGTACCCCACAGCCCGGGCCAGGGGGTGCCCCAAGCCCCTCTGTACCTGTTTCCTGAGGTGTGTTATGATCTGCTGAGGTTTGGAGATGGTGCCCTCGTCCTGTGTCCTCAGCGCGGGCAGGTGCCCTGCGGGCAGGGGGAGGGGGCTGCAGTCGCTGTGCCCGGGGCCACCCTGAGCAGGTGAGGGGAGCAGGGGGCTGGAATGGGGGATGGACCCCCATGGCTGGGTGAGGGGCACGACAGGGGTGACAGGGGTATGAGATGGGGACAGAGCGCTGCAGGGGAGAGGGTAGAAACTGTGTGATGGGAAATGGGGAACGTGCTGGGACAAGGGGGTTGTGGTGGGGAGTGGGGCTG